AGAGCTGGGTTTTTCATTGGATCAGAAAATTTCTTTTATAGCTTTGTTATTATATATGTTATTAATATACAGGCCTGGCCCTAAAAAAAAATCCTGAAACAACCGTGCCCCTTAAATATAAGTGTTGACAAATTGGCTATGTTTCAAAACAAATGGGTCACAATGTTTTATTTTGACCAATCATAATTTTGAATTATGTATTCAGATATAAAGCAAAACTACAAAGGCGTGATTCAGGTCTATTAGAGCAACCACGGACCCAAGCTGGTACACCTCGGGTACTTGTACTTTCTTTTGAAGCCATTCATGCACCAGAAATACAGCCTATCAAGGGGAAAAAAAAAAAACAATATGAGAAAGCAGATAAAAAATGGCATCATGATGGTTTTATTCAATGTAGCGCATCAGTATTCCACCCATTAATTTTAGAAGTCTCTTATCATTTTGTTGTATTATAACTATTTTTATTTTCTCTGTAGAATCACACTTTTCCCTCTCACCAATATCCAGTAAATAATCTATTCCTAAGTGGTCACAATTTTGCAAAAGGAATAAAGGCTAACAATAGACATTTTGTCCGGAATTGCTGATTGCTTAACTACTTGTATCTGGCACTGCAATGGAAGAAATAAAAATATTTTTGAGAGTATTATTTTTTCTACGATGATAACTCTTCAAAAATATATTTACTAGACTTCAGTAAAATACCGTGTTTTTTTAAGAAACTAAAATATGTCAACCAAGCTTCTTTTATTTTTTTCATTTATTTTCACCTGCTGGAGCCAGTTATGTTCTCTCCACCAGAGAGCGCAAGTATCACCAGAGGTGATGGTGCTGGGATGGAGAGCTTGCTCTGCTCGTAAGCGATATTGTGAACTGCCTTCTTCAAGGATGGCACCCCAGATATGATGGGTGACTCCAGCTACGTGAATTTTCTTGCCTATGGGTTAATTTAGGTTCAGAGTTAACACTGAGTGTCCAATGGTTAAGACTCAGAGTGTCCAATGGTTAAGGCTTCCCATGTCCAAGTTAGAGCTGAAGAATCTCCTGACAAGGACATACTGGGTGAGATTCCTGCGTCTCCTTCTGAATCTTGGGCTCCAGCCCAGGAGATGCTGACTTCCCAGGGACGTGTGCTTCTCCCATGCAGTACAAAGACTCGTATGCCCCTCAGACACATGCTTGAGGACACTAAGACCAACCACCATTGGGAATGGTGGGCATCGAAAAGAATAAAGGACTTAGCAAGTAGTAAAAGAGATCTTCAAGTTTTAGACAGAGAGCAAAAGCATTTCAAGCAATGCTGTAGGAAATCAGTATCAAGAGTATGAAATAAAATAAAGGCTTTTGAAAATTCCCAGAACCCACACCTTCCTCTAGAAGAAGGTGAAATTTCTAGTGAAATACCCCAATGCAGCTAGAGAGCTAAGAAAATCCAAGGGCATGGACCAGTTTTGTGTTGCACGTTCTCCCAGAGCACACCCCCATAGATACTGCGCTAAGGCTCAAACACCTCCAGTCTGGAGTGCCAGGGTACAGGCTCACTCACAATACGCTTATGCAAACCCTGCCATAACCTGAAGGAGAATGCTGTGTGTTACCCCACTGACAAAGGGCAAGAAGCTTTTCACTCCTCAGTCACAGGTTCACATTGTGTTCAAGTGTGTTTACTGTGTGTTACCATAACAGGCGTTAAGCCACAACTAATGCTCTTGTATTTTCTCAGCCAACTGTCTGCGCTGCAGAAGCTATTGGGATAGACTGGCCTCCTCCTTGGCAGTCCCAACAGGGAGCCAAGGACTCAAAGAGTCTGGAGATGCACTCTCTCCACTCCTAGCTGTCAGTTAGGCAGAAACCATGCTGCTTAGTGAAGGAAATACCAGAGAAGACAGCTTTTAGACAAAATTGTATTGTAACATGCCTTTGACCTAACAGGCAATTTTCTCCAAACGCAGCAATTGCCATGTAACTGACCCATATTTAAACACACTCACACGTTTTTATATACATACATATAGAGAGAGGGGTTCACCTTCTGTGTGGTGCTTTCAAGTGGGGCTCTTCAGGTGGGTGTGATGGTACAGTCTTTTGTTTCTGGCTCCTCCTAGTACCTGTACACAGTGTTAAAGGCATATGGAGATTATAGGATCATCTCCATAAAACTAGGGCTTTATGTGGTTCTTCCTCACCTAAGCCTTGTACAAGTACTTACTAAAAAACTACCCAATTTCAAATCCCATTTTTAGTATCAGTGATTCTCCTCCAGACATATTCAGAGTGAGAGTTTGGTATTTTTACATTACTTTTTTTTTCTCATGCTCTTAAAAAAATGCATTTACATGCCTCAGTCAAATTTCTCCTGAAACATCTAATCTGAAAGCAAGCTAACAAAGCTAAGTTTCCTCCTTGTGGCATTTGGCTGTTCAGCTGATGGGACGAGTAGAGAAGAGGCAGCAGCAAATAGCAGCTGCCTTGCTAATCACAGCCCGGGGTTGCCACACAGAGAGGAAGTCTTTACCTTTCCCCCTATGGGTGGGAACAGCCATGTCTGTTCTGACATTGACTGGACTCCATGCAGGGTGCCCCACAGAGCAAGAGATGTGCATGAAGCCAAGGACTAGCCAGCTGAGGAAGGAGTAAGTAGGTTGGTGGTCAACAAAACTGTATTTACTGTTCTACGGGTTCATCCTCTGGTTTTAGATCCCCCTTTTTTTAGGACCCACAGGTGCAGGTGGTGAGGTGAAGGAACTGCAAATGTATCTCCACAGGTATAGTTGCCACCCCTGGCGAAGCCCTCAGGACACACAGTTTTCAAAGCCTGTTCTAAGAGGACCCAAACTTCCTCCAATGCAATATTGTAGGGGAAATATTACTAAACAATCTTTTGGGAAATTTTTCTTCCTTTAAACTCTTTCATAGACTTTATAGCATAGAGGAATGGATGCAGTTTCTTCTCAGCCAAAAAAGGTCAGGAGCTATCAAGCCCCAAGGGACTCCTAGGTGTTCATTAGGGAAGAAAGAAAAAAGCCAGAACCAAAGAGTTGTATTCATCACAAACGAGACCTTAAAACAGAGGCTGATTGTTTTTTTTTTCTTGCTTTTGGCAGGCCTACAGCATGCTCTCTTCTATCTTATGTTCTTCTGCTGTTTTCATCCTACTTTCTCCCCTCTCTTCTTCTGGCTCGTTGCCCATTGTTCCTTCAGACACCTGCCTGTGGAGCCTCCAAACCTGAGCATGATTTCTTCATTCCAGCAGACACATCCCTGGATGCTAGTAATCCCAGCAGGTTTTACTGCCTCGCTTTTAACATCAGTGGACTTCACCGGAGAGGTGCATGTTGCTGGATGAGAACCTGTCCTCTCAAATATCAGCTTAAGCTAGCGACTACAACCAGGGCTCCATGACATCCTAGGTCCTGGAGTGACAAAACATTAGGAAATTGTTAAGGTTTGTATCAAAACTGCAGAAGCAATTTATAGCAAATTCTATTAGCAGAAACTGGCTTTGCTTTTGCCGCAACTCTTTCAATACATGTAAAATAAAGGGGAAATAATAAGTTTGTGTGTTGCTTCACTGCAGCCAACACCTAGAAAATTTCTATTGCCAGAGTATTTCAGGACTGGAAATAGAAATATTACCCATGTAGGTCTCATAGTTAAAATGATCCTATTAGTGTTTGTGTATTAAAGAAAGAGTGATAAATGGAAACATCCTATGCATGGAAAAGTAAGTACAAGTTACTGGATTTTTGCTGAGCAACTGTCTTAGAAGTGGATGGCTGGAATTAGAACAAAAAATAACCATGAAAACAGGCACAATGCTCACAGCATTATCAGTAACTTTTTATCTTTTTGGTTTGCTTCTTGACTTTTATGTTGAATATTGGCTGTATGGCCTCTAGAGCAGACATCTTCTGTGAGGCATTTAAGCAGAAGTTATACTGAGACAGTAAGAGAGAGGCGTGTATGTAGATCTTAACTGGATGCAGAAAGAGCTGGAAGAGTTCTTTATGCTGAAAGGAGAAAGAGGGAGCCAAACCTTTGGTGATTTACGACTCTGTGAACAAGCCAGAGAGCAGCTTTGTGTCCTCTCTTTGCCTTTTCCACAGCTCACCTAACTTCTGATGTGCAGGGATACTCCCTGGAGGGACAGGCCAGGAGCCCCTCGTCCCTGTTTTCAAAGAGATTTAAGGAGCATCAAAGGCCCATATCTTCTTGAGCTTGGAGCTCAAGAGCTTCTTGAGCTTCCCGCTGAGACCATTCTTTGCTACCCACTCATTGATTTTTATGAAACTTGTTGGAAATTAAGTCCTGAGACCTTTCCTCCTCTAGTAAATGTGAGTGAAACTGGTCAATGGGTTCAACCAAACTGCACAAATTAAAAATGGCAAAGGACAGCAAACATGGAGTCCAACAAGTTGAGAAAACTGACTAAGTGTTCTCAAAGGTAGGTCTCATCTACTTTGAAGACAGGAGTCTAGTAAATTCTATTCCCAAAAGATACAGAGATCATTTTCTGCATCGTGGGAATCCAGACACTACATTCCCACACAAGGGTTTTTGAAGAGGGAATCACACGCAGCAAAACTGTTTTTGATGAGAGCACTGCAAAATACCATAAACATTCCTGAGAGTGTTATTTTCAAACATCTGCTCCAATCCAGTTTTAGATGAAAGAGATACTCAGTTGAAGTAACCCTGCTTCCACAAAATCCTGTTTGAAGCAACGACTGCATAGGAAGCAGAATTTGGGCTGTGCTCAAGTTTTTAAGAGACTGTCTACAGCAGTTGGTTTTCTTGTAACTGCAGTGAAAGATTCAGTGGGGCACTTATTAAAACAAACAAAAAGCCATTATTGTGGTAATGTAAAAACTACCATTTACATCCAACAAATAGATCAAAAGGTGCTCTTTTATAAACAAAATTCCCATCCCACAGCCACAATGGTATGTACAATAACATCACACTTTGCCAAGAGATTCCAGTATGAGACACAGTAATTCAAAAGAAACAAAGTGTAAGTTTATTGGACGCCAATATTTCTTAGTCAAGATCTAAGTAAAGAAAACACACAGTAGAAAAAGTTGTACAAAGCAGCAATGGATTTACATTACATTAAAGAAAAAGTTGCCCTAAGCTACTAAGTCTCAGTCCTAAAAAAAGTAAAAACCCATCCTTAATCAAAATTCAACACTGGTGTATTGAACTGATATACAATGACTATAAGGATTATAAAACCAGCTTCTTTTGTCTTACCTCAATAATCCTTTAAAATGACAAGTGATTTCGTGTAATTGGAAAATTCTATAGTAAATATATTGGATAATTCCAGTTTCTACAAACTGTAGGAAAGTATTTCCCTGTACCCAAGCACTACAAGTGATCCCATTTTCCTGCTTTTTATAAAAGGGACACTGTCAAGAATAAGCCTTAAAATGTGTACTTTATATGTATCTTGCATGTTACATTGCAAAGAGATACTTTGTTCTTGTTTTATGTACATATTTTAATTAAAAAGATGCTGCTGCAGTAGTGGGAAGCTTGTGTCTTTAAAAGGTAACGTGTATCCCTGTGAAATTGGAAAAATGGATTGAGTCCTTTATTCTGGAATAGTGAGAGAAAAGCAACGTGAAAAATAAGCTCAGCCCACAGAATTCAGACATGTTTTTCAGACATCCTTGCAACAACCTAGGATGCCCTTAACAGGCATTTTCATGCCCAAGCAGCAAGTGTTATGAGTCAATTCATGTTTTTAAATTCTTTGATTTTATTAATATCAAGTATTCTTAATACAGATAAGTACATTTACTGTATACAACCTTTCTCTTGATAGTGTCCCTTTATGTACAACAGTTATAGTACAGTTTTTCACAAGTCATTTTAAATAAACAAGAATCAATGACATTAAAAAATACTATCAGGCTGTGTTCAACAACAACAAAAAAAGATTTTAACACTGATTCATTAACAGCAACATTAGAAAAACCCAAATCCCTAAGCTTGCTTTGATTTTTATCTAAATCTTCTGGTAGGAAAATGTAAACAATTTTATTGAACAGTATAGGCACATGCCAGATTACAGGCTCATGCCATATATTTGCACCCTCATTGTTAGTGCCAAGAAGGTAGGCATAGTCTGTCCTTATCCCACGTGAGGAACTTCTAGTTTTACCACCGGAAGCTTGGAACAAAAACAGAGTACATGTAGCTTCAGACCAAACCCGCATGCCCTACTTGGGGGAAAACAAACATCACACAAAAAAAATATCTACTGGATGTCACTAGAAGGCTTGCCTAAATAGGAAATGCAGGAACAAGTCTCTTACAGCTGTGTTCTGTTTCACAGATAAGGCTACCTCTGCATTCTGAAATACACAAGACAAACTCTAGTGTCACCCACTGCTTCAGCAGGTTATTTGCACAATTAACTGCCACAGGGTGTTTCATTCACCCTTACCAAAAATAAAAAAAAAAAATTTAAAAATGGCGCAGATACAAGGAGTCGGTATTATCACTGGTTCACATCCTTTGTTTTTTGTAAATGACAGAATTATACCCTAGCTGTATAAGCAGGTTTTATGTAGAGGAAAATTCATTTTCACTTTTAGTTCTAAGACTTAAAAAAAAAATAATCTGGATGTATTTTTCTGCCATTGCTCACTTTCAATGGCTGATCCTGGTCCCAATTTAGCAAAGAACGTAAGCACGTATTTAAAAAAACCTTAAGACTGATCTCAGTGGAACTTAACCATAGGCTTAGACACTTCACCAACACAGTGCCTGAAAGGAAAAAAAGTCCCAAAACAAAATACATTTCATGGCTCAACTCTGCTCCTCTTAAATGTAATGGAAGTTTCCACTGTACTTCCACCAAAGCAGGACAGTTCTCTGAGATTTATTTGACAGATTATAAAAATAGCAAAAAAAGAAAGAATTAAAGATTCTAATCTATATATTAAAACATCTGCACATTCCTGTCACAAATTTTAAGAAAAAATGCAAAACACTTTTTATATTTAACAAGACCTTTACCTTTGTGTCACTTTAGTACACAACTACAAAATTAAACAAGTTATGATGAAGACAGGTTTTTGTATCAATAAATTTGCCTTTTATTTTGTTTGTGGCCAAACTAGACACTCTTCAAAAGACCTTTATTTATAAACAAGCAACTAACATTTTTTCATAATTTAACTTTTAAAACATATATTAAAGTTATATAAGTGGAAGCATATTTATTTCGTCTCCTCCAAAATAAACACTTCTATCAAGGGCTTAAGATACTGTATAAAAGCTAATAGAAAACCAGAACTGCTATATAAACATCTCATATTTAAACTTCAGAGATCCTGAATTCCTTTACTAAACAACAGGAACTGAATTTAAAAAAAAACCCACAGAACACGCTCAGAGTTAAAAACAAAACTTAAAAAAAAACCCCAACAAGCAACTAAAGAAAAACTTAGAAGGAGGCTATTTTAGACCAAAAATATTTTATGGATTTTTTATAGTACAAAGTATATTACGAAAAAAGTCAAGGTTTCTTCAAAGATGTTGCACAAGCTTTTTGATTTAAAGTGTGTGGAAATTATCATCATATCACGTAGCAGAATCCCAGTTGGAAGCTAGATGACTATGACATAGCTGAACTAGTTGCCACCTTCCTTTAGAAAGCACACTGATTTTTAAAAGGCTACATACAAACTTTCAGACTGTTGTGTAGAGGAATCATTGGTGAAAACTCAGGAATCATTTCAGAAAAACACATTCATATTTTCTATGCGCAGATTTCTTAAGTGCATTTAAAGGATACTTAACACAGCTTTATGTTTTTCTGATTTTGTTAAACCAGGTTAAATGCAATAACCATTTTATTTTGAAATAGTTTCTGGTAAGAAAGAAATTTAGTCTTATTAGATGCAAGAGAAAAGTCAGTAACTTTTTTAGAATAGAATGTCACTATTAAACAAGTACCTTATTTCAATTGCAATGTCACTGAAAGAGTTTGACTCATATTCTAACAAATTAGCATAAGCATATTCAGATACAATTTGCCTGAAAGAGGACAAAAGAGGACATAATGTTACTATTAGAAGTATTAAGTAACAATTTTAGATTTTAATCAAAAATGAAACAGAAGATGCTTGAAATTTTTTGGAAGCTGAAAAAAAGTTGGGGGTCCATCCTGACCAAAAAAAAAAAAATCTGTTGAAAAAAAATGGTAGCACACTTGGGCTTTCACTGAGAAAAATCTACTCCTGTGCATGCCTCACCAAGATGCTCATCCTCAGATTCTTAGGAGTTACACTTGTGCTTAATTTTGCTAAATCTTAGTGTCAGCTTGCAATTCTTTTTACTTTTGAGTTAGGGATGCTGAAAAAAATGTCATGGTTACATACACAATTAAAGCCTCACTCCTGATCCTCCTGAAATTGGTGACCAAATTCCTGCTGCTTTCAGCAAACACAAACTGGGCTCTGACTAGGTGGTGTGGAACTGGGTAAAGTTGGTCAGGATCATAAATAACTGTTTGCATCATTTACGTTCACTTTAATCCATCACCACTCCATTAAGTCTAAATTCTAGCATAATAATTTTTCACTGTTTACCACCTACTTCTGGGTAAATATTTGTTTTACTTACAGAACAATTTTGGACCCTTGCCATAGCTTCTGGTAAATATCTATGATACTACTTACATTAAATGCTCCAGTTGTGATTTGATGTAAAATAATGGAACTACACAGAATATCTGCAGCCCATTATTACCACGATTTTCAACAAATTAGAAAATTGCAACACAGTATCACAAATTATAGAAACCAGCAGAAAGAAATATTCTATGCATTGTATTCATAAAATGCAGTGATTGTAGTGTGATGTTTTTCCCTCTGCTTTGAGCTGGATATGTATGCTTAATACAAATCTCAAATACATACTTCTTCATTTATACAGGTGTCTATATAAATATTTACATTTTTAGCTTTTGTTAAAACATATCTTTATACTCATGGCCAAGCTTATTACTGTATGTAGGAACACAACTCATCTTCTGTCCCTTAATGAGCTCTCTTTTTTTCATTTAATAGTCATACATTCCTTTGTAGTTAGAATTACAAACAGTTGTACAAATAGTGGAAACAAAATTATGAAAGTTGTCTGACATCCATTCAATCTTAGTTCATATTATAAACAGTACCATTTGCGTTACGATGGCTGTTAATACAATGACTTTAGCTACTGAAGTATCTATAGTAAATTAGTCTTTGGGACATTATATAAAGCAAAGTACCCCCTCCCCCAATTTTCCTTAGAAACATAATTAAATGGCTGAAAGCAGGCTTGCTGCTACTTTTTAATATAAAATCTTAGTAATAATATTGCTGACTTTAGATTCTATTTTAATTTGCACAAGTTCCATATAACAACAAAACATTTCTATGTTCCCTTAAAATATCAAACATTCGTATCCAACAACATCAGGATTACTCAAACTTGAGGTTTATTTGTTATTGCTAAAGGTTTCTAAGACCTAAGTCAATACAGCAAGACACTCCATCCACTTCCTCCCTAACTCCAAGTGTATGGCAACTATTTATATGGAGCTTGTGTGTTGGTTTTTTATTTAAAAAAAAAAATAATTAATGAAGTTGGTTACAGTATTTCACTACTATAAACTCACAGTTAGAATCCAAATTGTTGTTGCTCTTTCATTTAATATATAACTTTATATATAATACACACGCACACACCAACATCACAGGATGAAGATCCATGCATACAATCCAGATGTGATCGTATTTCAGTGTTAAATGAAATAAAAATTATTCTGTTACTATTAGATCCCAGACCACAGTATTTTAAATTACTCTGCTTTCTACCTACTAACTAAATTAGTTTACCTTAATCTTCCAATCCAAGCAGCATCACAAATTCCAAATTTTTCCATCGTCGTCGTTGTTATCTTGATCCTCTTAGGTTTCTAGTTTATATGGCATACATCTGAAATCCTGAACACAGCCTCCACTGAACTAGCTTTTTAAGGTATCTGTTAAAGCTAATTGTGTGTCTGTTCGTGGCTCCAAAGACTAAAAGCTGTCTTGAAAGTCCTATGACAGAGCTTACACATGTATTGTCTTTTGAACGTGATTGCTGAGAGTGGTGGAGCATGATAGAAGAGCGTATCTGACTCCTGTGGTACAAATAATTTTTCAGTAGTAGTGGAGCTTTCAGACAAGCCTGTTGGACTATCAGGCTCCAAAGGCTGGATTTTGGGGAGGGGTGGGGGTGGAGGTAAGGGTGGTGGTGATGGGGAATTAGCTGGTGGACATATCTCAGGCTCTTTATTTGCGGATTCCTCTGCGGTCTGTGACATATGAGACTGGAAGTGACTCCACAGACGGAAATTGGTTCGGAAGGCCTTGTTACACACGTGACAAATAAATGGTTTCACAGAGCATAAGAGCTCTTGGTGACGCTCCAGCTGTTTGCGTACAGTGAAAATCTTCCCACACTTTTCACAGGGCCACAAACCAGCATCCTTGTTGGAGACTACTTCCTTAGGTTCTCTGCTCGTTTCGCTGACCTCATCCTCTACATCATCTGCAGGCTCTTCTTTGATCTGAATTTTAAACTGCTTGGAAACACTTAAGTCTTCAGGTAGGCATGAGGAATCTTCAGAATCAAAATTTATTTGTTCTGACGAATCACTGAATACACCATCTTCCTTCGCAGCAACAAAATTGTTCATTTTATTGGACTCTGACTGGGGAGGCAATCTTGACGAGCTAGTAATTTCTCCATTGTGATCCAGGATAGGTAAAGAAAAGTTCTCTGATGGAGCCATTGTGTTTTGATTGTGAACTTCAACTTGATGACGCCAAATACTAAAGGATGATTTAAAGGTACGCATACACTCAAGACAAGTAAGCTTCTTGTATTCACACTTGCTTTCATGCTCATGCTTCAGCTCTGGAGAAGAAAATCTGACGCCGCAGTAAGGACAGATAGTAGCATTTCTACAGAGTCGCTCATGATTTCCCTGTTCAATAAGTGAAGAGAGCTTGGCGTTGCAGAGACGGCACTGATAAACCTCTTTGCTTTCTACTGGACTTTCGATATGAGCATGATCTTTCGGCTTAGGAGCCTTATTTCCTCCAATTGGTTTCTCCCCTGGGTGCATTTTTATGTGCTGTTTAAATTGTGAGAGGAAACGATAAGCTTTCCCACAGTAGGTGCAAAGATAGGCTCCTTTGGTTCTCGATCTTAAATTTCGTTTGATGACTTGTTGTGCTTGTGAAGCAGACTGTCCCTGAAAACCTTGCTTGCCACGTCTTAGTTTAACTATTAGAGCTTTTTTAATTTCTCTCTCTCTCACTATATCGATCAGTTTTCTTTGGAATTTTTCATCCAAAACAGCATGTGAACTGGAAGCAGGCGAGGGATTCTTCACGATTCCATGTTGTGTCTGGCAGTGGGTCCACACCTTGAAATTTGTGTGAAATCTCTTGTGGCATATGTCACAAGCATAGGGCTTTTCTGGATTATGATACATGTTAACATGACGATGAAGACCTGCTGTTGACCGGAAAATTTTAAGGCAGTGCTTGCATTTAAATTTTTTATTTGGTCTTGCTTCTTCCATCTCACTGTATTCATCTTTACTGACATCAGAATCAGGAAAATCAGCATCAAGGTGCGTAGGGCTTGAGCCTTCCCCAAAGTTATCTTCTGACCCAGGAGAACCCTGCTCATCCGCCTTCTGTTTCTTAAACGGTAGTCTTCTGTCGTCTTGAAAACTCCTTTTTGCTGGAATTCTGCTTGGTTCCTTATGATCATCCTCGGTTTTAAAAGGAAAGTCTTTATTTGTCGATGCTGAAGCATCACCCACTGTAACTCTTATTATTTCGGCAGGATCTGAAAGCGGGCTGCTAGGTTCAGTTTTTATTCGCACCTCTGTGAGAGGGGAAGCAACCTCCCTATCAGTTGACTGAGAGGCACTGAAAGATCTAAGGCGATGCGGGTGTATTACCTGGGGTTTTTCATCTAAGACTAACTTCTCTGATGACTCCTTCAAGGACGACTTCTGAGATACAACATTAAATATCTTCTGGGAATCGTTAGTTCCCGGTGAGGAGGATGATGATACCTGTGAAGGTTTTAGGTCAACAGAAGGCGAGTAAATAGGAACCTGGCTGTCCATGGACAGTGACCTTCGAAGGAGACTTTTTACAAGTGGCCCACTTCTGTCAATACTTTGGTTTTCTGGACCAGATCCGCTAGATGGAATTACTAGCCCTAACTTTGAGTAGTACAGCAAATTCCTGTCTTCACCTTGACCATTTCCTTTTCCTGCCTCTCGCAACAAAAATGTAGATTCTGATGCACCACGCAGAGACAAGACTGGTGGACGCAGTCTTTTTAATGACATCTCTGCGGCCTTTGCTCTTAAAAGCTGACCACTGCTTCCTGGTTCATCGCTTGCAATTTCTTTCTCTGCTAACGGCATTTGAGGCAGCACTGTGTTCCTTTTCACTAAACCACCTCTGCTCTGATCCTCCACAGTTCCAGAAGTTTCATGAAGCTTGGTATAGCTCACAGGGCTTTCTTTCAGCCATCTCCTTTCAGTCAGTGATAAGTTATGAAGGGTTTCAGTTGGTTTTGTTACTTGTGGTCTACTGCTAGTTTTGACAGCAACAGAGGGTGAAGGTTTAGAAGTATGGCTTAAATCATGTTGTGTTTGACTTACACTTTTCACTTGTGCTTCAATTCTGTTCTGACAAACAATGACACTTCTCTTCTGAGAACTACTTTCGTCTTCATCTTGATACAATATTTTCTTAACAGGGCAAGCAGGAAAAGGAGCTTGAGGACTCTTAGAAACAATGTTTGTGAGAAAGGATATTCCAAGACTGTAGCCCAGTTCTTGCACAGCTGCAAGACTGCCTTTTTCAATGAACAAGGATGAAGAATAAATGTAGTTTAAAACATTATCAAAAGCATCTGGTTCACAAAAGTCGAGTTGAAACACTGACTGAGACTCATTCTCCTTATTTGTGAACAGAGTTTGGAAGTATTCACTGCTGGCAGCCAGAACATTTTTATGAGCTCGAAATTTCTGATCTCCTACTATAAGAACAACATCACACAGCTGTCCTTTCAGACGCTCCTCATTCAGCGCACTTAGAAGTGAAATGGCATGTGCTGGATTTATGTAATGCAAGAGCCCCTCCATGATTCTGATGTTTCTGAAAAAGAACAACAACAAAAGAAAAGTTGTAGGTTGCCTTATGTGAACAGTTGTTAGAGATAAAGTAAACACACCTAATTCCTCTGTACCTCATAATCTGGCTAAACCACCATCAACAGTGCTGAAGAATGCAGCATGTTTAGAGGAAAGATATGGAAATTAAACCAATGTTATTAGCTCCAACAGACGCATAGGTACAAGAATCACAGAATCATAGATGGTTGGAGTTGGAAGTGACCTTAAAGATCATCAAGTTCCAACCTCCCTGCCATGGGGCAGGGACACCTCCCACTAGACCAGGTTAGAAGAACCAGCTGATGTGCCTACTTTCAAATACACTGTTAATCCCTGATCTGACACCAAGAATGTTACACCTAACTAACTGGGGCAGCTGTGTTCTCTTCCTGTAATACACCTGTCTACGTGAAGGAACAGTTCATTCATTTCACTCTTGATTATCTTTTCTCAATTTTATGAAGATCCATCTTGACAACTGCATTGATAAACTCTTGACTCAGATATCTAAGGCTTAGATACACCAAGTCACCTTTCTGAGGCTAAGCAAACCTGACAGTTTCCTGCTGACTAAACAAATTAATGGGGTTTTGTTGTCATTTTTAATAGAATGATGGAGGGGACATTAATACTGGGAAGGGAGAAGGAAGCAGGATTAATGTTTGTAATTTAGATTAATTTATCATGTTTGCTTATGTTTAATAAGTGTTGTAAACATATACTTCTAGCTATCAAATATGCTTCACTTATAACCGCACTGCACTAACAGGATCTGGTTTCTTGGAAATTTCACAATTAAAATTGAAGTATCTCCGCATTGCTTTGTTCTATCTTAAAAGCAACCAGAGAATTTAACTCCCCATCTTATTCATTATCATAAGAGCACTTTATGTCCACAACCCATATACCTGAGGAACAATAAGCCCAAATTAAACTGCAGTGCAGAAATCCCCATGTTCCATATATTTCAAAACAGAGCCCACTCCATACCGCAGGTTGTCTCAATAACTCAACAGCCTGCCCCTGATTAGATCTTAACAAATGAAGAGAATCAGGTTTTAAGTCAGTTTAAACAAACAACTTCTGTGGCATGAATTGAAATTTATGTATCTGGCACATGCACACAGACACACAGAGAAATAAGCAATATCCATTTTTTTTTTTTCTTGGATACTTTTACAATTCTGTTCAAGTTAACCTGTAAGAATTTTACACTACCTTCCTCTGTGATGGTAGTACAACAAGTCAATGATGTGTCTGTTAAATTATCTTCTTTCTACAGTTGACAAACTACTCTTTAGATATTTATACATGATGTATACTACTACAACAAAAAGGTTTCACTATTCATCAGTTTACAAGAAAAACTGAAAAGTTTGTAAAAATAAAAAGCAATATTAAGAAGCTGTAACCCCATCATTAATAAATGTGGGTGGTAAGTCTTACAACTAATGCATATAAAAAAGCGATCAAAGTCTAAGTTGGCATTATTAAGAAATGACATAAAGGGTGCCACATACAGTGTCTCAGGGCACTGATCATATCACAGGACTGAACTATGACATCTACACCTGAAATTACCAAATGAGTTAATAGTGTCAGAGCAATAGCAGAAGCAGAATTCTGTTTCTTCCCCAGATCTGTCTCTTTACTGAGTGTTTCAGTGTCTTGCAGTGTCATTTCATAAACACTAATTTATCCTTAATTCACCCCAGATATAATGCATAATGCCCCACTCCCCCATCTAAAAAAAGCAGAGTAGTCAAGCTTCTAAGAAATTGAGAAAAAACACTCTGTTTTGTTTTGCTTTCTATCTTTTGCTTAAAAGAACTGTCTGGGCAGTGTCAATTACCCATCTCCTTTGTGGATGCCACCTCAATTTAAAGTGGTGGAGTCTGACTGGCCCTAATCCAGCTCTCATGAGCACCCATTAGAACTTCGAGTGTTGCAAGAATGCACCTTTTCCATTAGTTTCATCTGAAAGAAATTGAGTTTGCAAACTCAGGTGATTCACCTGTGATGCAAGCTGCAGCACGGCATATGGACATAACAGATCAACGATGTGCTGATGAAGTAAATTCAAATTAAAACAGTATTGTAGAGACCCCCAACAGAAGTTGCTGCAGCAACCATACATCAAGGACACAGTGGGAAAGGATTATATTAGTCAAATGTTTTATTTGAATCTGCTTTTCCCAGGCCTTGTGTCTCATGTAAGGCACAGGCAGAATAAACACCATGTAATCACTATGTGTTCCTTTGTGGTAACACAGTAATGCCACTAGTAGAGACCAGTGTAAAATCTACATGTCTAAAGCAGAATCCAATAGTCACACATCCTTCCTTCCACATTCTCCTTTTTTTATTCATAGAACACCTTCAATTTATTTAAACAAGACAGAGATAAGCATCCCACTACACTCCTTCCCTCCTTTTGCAGACCAAAGTCTCTTCTGTGCAGTGAAGGAGGCAGAGCTCTTTGCTGCAATGGAACTCTGTCACTTTAACAGTAACCAAGGCTGCAACATACACAAATGGCAAGGGACCAAATTAATCCTGCAAAGGCAGCTTTAATCCTGGTATTGCCTAATTCAAGTGCTTGACTTTCAGCTTAATAGCCTTTAAACATAACAGTCAGAAATAAACCAAGCTATGATATGTTAAGAAACAGAACCAGAACTGGTTTGCAGAACCATCTTGACACATTTACACAGATCATCTGAAAGCCTGAAGTACTTAAATGTAAAAAAAAACACCCAAAAGATTACCACAGTAAATGTACAATGTGTTAAAATTTCATTACATGAACACTTTTCAGTAACAAAGTTGATCCAAGGCATTCCTACTCTCTTTTGTTCATCTTATCTGCACATGGCATTTCACTCCTTCAGCTATGCCTGTACAAATATTTGCAGGCTTCCATTACACAGCAGATCAGACAATAAACCAAAACCAAATAATACTTCTTTTCAAATGCTAGTCAATTTTTATATTAAACAACAATCTCAAGAATGAATGCATTGACATAACTGAAGAGGCAGCAAAGCAGCCATAGGAAGGTAGGAACTCCAACAGTTTGGCATCAAAGCCAATGCCCATCCGACTGCAACTCAGCCCCAACACAAAAGGTGTGCCTAGGTACTGGACAGATAACAGAACTATGGCCGTATCTTGGACTACTAGATTTGATTCCAGGTATTTGAGGAATCACACTTCTTCAGCTGAAGATTATTTTGCCATTAACTACCTAAGCTCTTTCCTCCAGATAATCTGCTTCTGTTGTATCCAACCATTTTTTCCCTGCCAACTTCACTACTGACTGGAAACAAAGCTCTTCAAAAGCTCTTCTTCTTGCAGAAAATCTCCCATTGTCTGTGTTCAGGTGCCACATGCTATATAGCAGCTGCTGGTCCTCAGGAGGCACAGTGACAGCAAGACCCAGGAAGGGCAAGTGCAGCAGAAGGAAGACACCTGCAGCCTTCTTTCAAAAGGCCAGAAAGAGATTTTAGTATCAATCTTCAACAGCACTCTACTGATCTCAGCAAACTAGCTTTCAGAGACTTAAGTACTGTATTTGCAACAAGATCTATTTTTTTAAACAAGGATAGAAAAAAACACCTCTACTATTTCAAAATTACACTCTGCAAAAAAGGAAATTTCTACTCGGGAAGCTCCTCACAAGGAAAGGGTGAAAAGGTTTAATTTTTGGCTCAGTGGTCCATTGATCTTCAACAGCTACCTGCCTTTGAAGTGGCAGCTCCCCTTACTTTCCTCTGTCCCTTACTCTCACGTTTCCTGCTCCCAGCCCCCTGGTACCCTCCTCTTCCTTTCATCAGCTCTGCTGCTTATTTGACCTTCCAGTAAGTTGATTCAGCTCCCTAAAATGAAGCAGGAAACAAACAAAGAAAACCAACCCTGTTTTTTAATATCTGTTTGCTATTTCATAGAATGGTTTGGGTTGGAAGGGACCTGAAAGACCATTAAGTTCCAACCCCCCTGCCATGGGCAGGGACACCTTCCACTAGAGCAGGTTGCTCAAAGCCCCATCCAGCCTGGCCTTGAACACCTCCAGGGATGGGGCATTCACAGCTTCTCTGGGCAAACCTATTTTATATGTTGGCTTAATCAGCTCATTAAGAGGTCAGACAAGCACTAAAGTTGCAGCAAGAGAAGCCATGAAACTACCCATTCTTTGTCAGCAAGTTGTTCAATCAGCTTTGCCTATCTGAAACTTCACTTTCAGAAACAATGAAGACACTGATGCTGAAACTTTACAAATAGAATCAGGCAGACATTTACGGGAAAAAATTCAGCATAAGAGCTTACACTTGCAAATACACAAGTAGCTAAAATAAGATGTTGATGTTGCCTAATGACTTTCATTATAAGGACATAGCTGTCAGCTACAGCTATGTTAATAGCATGTTGGGGGTGGTGGTGGGAAAGACGATGTTCTGAAGCACTTAATGAGATGCAATGTTGCAGCAAGGAGGCGCCAGGGCTGTGAGAAACTACAGGCTGAGAATACAAGGAAGGAGGAGGAAATGCACACAGAGATAGGCAACAAGAGAGACAACAGCGGTTTCAACAGGGAAAACATACATAAGGAGTGTGGTGAGGGCAAACCCACTAAAAAACCCAAAGAAACATGGATTATAAAACTCAGCCAAGAAATACAAGCAGCTTCCTGGGGTATTGTAGTGGTCTGGGCAGGTAAATGCAGGAATGTTGCACTCAGTTGTGAGTGCACAATCCTCCTTTGCAGAGAATTTGATGGCTCTGGTAATTCATGTGCTGTTTCAGACACATAGGGGGAAAAGAGTCCCATTACTCACCAAGAGTCTAGATGCAAAAGAAACCTACACTGCTTAAACTTCTACTCAAGTATCCTATGCTGAATTATATTATTTGAGTTTGACAGCATTTTATCAAATCCCTCTTCTCCCATGTTGCCTTTAAACACAGATACTCTCCTACAGTCCA